GTTCATGAGGTTCTATCACTTTTGGGATGTGGTCTTCCATGGTAACCCGTATCCCCTTAGGTTCACTCTTCACGACCAGTGGAATCTCATAAGGGATCCTTTGATGGCACTTATTACCCTTCCTCCTTCCCTGGTTAGTGGGCATTCCACTTCCTCGTCCTTATCCAGATTTACACATTTTCATGGACATATCCCTTCGGGGATGGGGAGGTGTGGGTCAATCAACAGGAAGCTTTGGGGTATTGGTCTGCAGCCGAGAGATCTTATCATATCAATGTCCTGCAGCTTCTCGCTGTACATCATGCTTTGGTTCATATTCTCCATCTAGCCAGAAATCATCTGGTAATGATCCATTCCGACAATTCTACAGTGATTGCTTATCTCAATCACCAGGGTGGCACCCATTCTCGGTCCCTCTGTATTCATATGTTGAATCTTCTTTTTTTGACCCACGCTCTAGATATTCATATCATTCCATGTCATGTTCCAGGTGCTTTCAGTCTTGTTGCAGATCGGCTTTCCCATCCATACAAAGTCTATCTGATAGAGCAGTCTCTTGATCCTCATGTTTTCCAGTGACTTTGTCTTCAGTGGGGTATTCCTCAAATCGATGCTTTTGCCACATCCCTCAACCATAAATTGCCTCTGTATTGGTCTCTGGTCCCTCATTCTTTTGCTCTGGCTGTCAATGCTTCAGCCAGGACTGGACCAACAAATACCTATATGTCTATCCTCCCATTTGACTTCTTTATTGGGTGATTTCAATTATCTACACCACTCCTTGTGAAGTCCTTCTGATTGCTCCTTACTGGCCAACTCAGCCTTGGTTTCTGCAGCTTCTTCAGATCCAACCTACTCCTCCATTGCTTCTTCCTCATACTCCATCCATTCTTCATCAACCTTGGTCACTGGTGCTTCATCCAGCTTTTCCTGCCCTCCGCTTTCACAGCTGTTTTTTATCCAGTCCTTGGCAAAGAGATCCAGCTTGTCCTGATGCTTAGCTTTTTTTCTGGCTCATTCCATTTGCCTTTTCTCCATGGAAGTTTATAAACATAAATGGAACATTTTCCACTGCTGGTCTCTGGGTCGAGGTTTTCCCCTGCTCAGCTCATTGTTCCTCATATTGAGGACTACCTCTCCTGGTGTTGCAACCAGGTGTCTTCTGTCTCCTTGACCTCAGGTTATTGGGTGTCATTATCCCATACCTTTCATTTTCCCCGATGCTGTAGGGTGTTTTCCTCTCCTACTCTTTCCCTATTGATGTATTCCTTCGAGATTCATTGTCTGTTGCAGCGGGCTGCCCTTCCAGATTGGGATGTTAATGTGGTCCTTCACTGCCTCACTTTGCCACTGTTCGAACCACTCTCCACATGCTCCTTGTTTCACCTTTCCCTAAAGACTTATTTCCTTCTCCTCTTAGCCTGTGGTCATTGAAGGTATGATTTATTTGCCATCAATGTTTCACATACTCTTTATCATTCTACATATCTTCTTCCCTATCCGGATCATTCTTTCCTCCCCAAAACTTCTGTGGCTTGTGAGGTAACACCTCCTTTTTGATGTTTTCCCACTTTTATCCTCGACCTAATCCGGATAGACTTCTATGTCCTGTATGTGCTCTTCACTGTTATATTGCCCGCACAGCTTCCTTCTGTGGTGTCCGTTCCCACCTCTTTATTCCTTGGCAGCTGTCCTCTGTTTATGAAATTTCTCCTTCCACCCTCACCAAATGAGTTTGGCTTTTAATTCGATTGGCTTATTCCTTTTTTTTTCTTCCTCCTGTTCCTTGTATCGGGTGTCTTCTCATCAAATTAGACCCTTTTTTACCTTTTCATTGGTGTCTCATCTTCACCATCCCTTGAAGGAAATTTTTCAGTCTGGCATGTGAACTACCCATAATATGTTTCTCTCTCACTATTTGCATAGGATCACAGTTTCTTTCTCTTCCACCTCTAGCCATTCTTCAGAGTTCAGTGAGACTTTGACTGAGTAAGTTATTTTTTATTATTCTTTATTTGTTTTCAGTGGCCCTTTTTTCCCTTTTTATTATTAATCATTGTTTGGATCCTGCTCTGTGGCAAGTGGTGCCTGACCAGGTATTCTTTAACCCATCAAATCTGCACTGTAAGGTCATGTCAACTTACATATTATATTTCCATGGCCATGGAGTGCACACTGCAGAGATAGGGTGTTCCACAAGATTGCTTGTAGGTTTATCCTCGTGAGAGAATGGCTTAAGAAATTTGCCTGTCCTGGACCATACTCATCTGTAGACTACACGGGTAAGGCAGAAGGTGATAGCTGTCCATCCTTGCTATGTTTTTTATTGAATAACTCGGTGTGGTCTGCTTTTAAAAATAGAGTTTCTTGGTTACCCATTCAACTGTTTCAGGTGTTGTTGTTCCTCCAGACTCTCCACCACATTTTTTCCCCCCATTTCTTCTAGTGGAGTTTGAGAGTCCTTACCACTTTCCAGTTCCAAGCTGCTGGGATAGTGGACCTTGGAGACATCCTCCTGAATGGGTTAATGAAATACAAAATAAAAACAAAATATAGAAATGATTATAAAACCATTCAATTGAGAGTAGGGTGGTGGTGTTCTGCTAGTGTAGATGATGTGATATCCTCCAATATGAAATAAATATAAATGGGAGTGATATATAAAAATTGCAGTTCACTTCTTTGATTGGGATCCCTCATCTTGCCCACATGTGGATGCTGGTTCCCAGTGGCTGGGTTTTGGATTTAGAGTTGAACAAATGAACACAAGTCCTCACACATGTGTTACAGATGTCTATATTCCTCCCTTAATTATACTCTTGTTATTCCATCCATGTTGGGAGTCAAGGTGGAGGTACTTGCAGATTATTATGGTTCTTTCCCTTCTGCTATCCCTCGATGCTTATTATTCCAAGGATGTTACGTGCTTGGGGCATTTCCATTCAGTTTCAATTTTGAGGGAGATGGTTTACATTATGCAGACATTTTTGCAATATCAGATGTCTGGTTTTCCAGATCAATCTATCAATTTCTTATATTAACATGTGCCCCGTTCATGGTTCTGGGGGCTCTTGATTCCCTCTGGTCTCATTAACTTGAGGTGAAGACAATATGATCCTTCTTCCTACTCCCACATGGATGTCAGTTCCCAGTGGTATGGGTTTTGGATGTAGTTGACTTCCATTTACAGTCTGTCGTGCCCTAGCCACTCTACACCTAGGACACACCCTTTTAATTTTACCCACTTTTATATTTTCTGGGATAGAGTTTCATAAGTATTGTATGGTTTGGATCTCTATCTGACCTTAGTTCTCTCCCACTTGGATGTGCTCCTCTGTTTTTCTGCCCATATGTGCGACATCTTTCTATGATGGGCGAAGAGTATACCTAGTTCAGAAGTGGTGCAGTCTCCCACATCACATCTTAGAATCTGACTGTCTCATCTTAGGGAGTGTCCTTTGGACGCTTTCAAAGGACGCTTCTTTTTTTCCCTCGCACCGTTTCCCTCCACCTATTCACTGTGAGATTCTAGCTATTTATGTGAGAAGAGGTAATGTACTGTATCAGAAGTTATAATTTTTTTTATGCTGAAAATGCATTTCTGAACTTACCTCCCCACTGAAAACTGGTGCTTCCATCTTCTGCCAAAACTTGAAGTGATAATTCGCCTAGCTCTAAACGTGATAATTACAGATGTTAAATCTGTAGTGCTTTTTCTGCTTTAATGATTTTGTGACATAAAGTACAATTATAAAATGTGATGAATATGCTGTATAATAAACAATGGGATAAATGGTCTTTGTTGTGTATGTTCTGATAAAGTATCAATAATTTGAAAATGTTGTCCTACTGAAACGTTTTAAGATGACATTTAAGCAAACTGTGATTCTTAACATATAGCCTGTCTTGTCTTTATTACACAACAGAAAAATAATGTGTTGCAAATCCATGATCTTATTAAAGGTAATAATTCAATGATACATTACATGCATAGGACAAATGGCCAAGGAGTAACATATTTTGGTTAGGAAGAAGTTATGACTGGGGGAGAGTGCAGGGTTCTCCACTTCCAAACTTATAACAAGATTAATGCATTTCCAACTTTTGGCCTTTATACACATATATGTTTCCCTTCTGATGAAATTTTGGTCAAAAATAATGACACACTAATAACAGATAAAGATTCTAAAATGAGTCTTGTAGCTGGTGATAAATCAAAAAGATTAGATAAAAAGTTTATAATGCAAGTTGGTCACTAAACTCTTTATTTTTTCTATTAATTTTGCTTTAGCTTAATATTCCACTGATTTCTATCATACCTTAGTCTACTGTAACAAAATAGGTGCCTACCAGTGGATCATGGATAAAATGTTGATAATGCAAGTTGATTGTTAATCTGTTTATTTTTCACATTAATTTTGCTTTAGCTTTATTATTCACTGACTTGTGTCATATCTTAACCAACTACATCAAAATAGGTGCTCACCAGTGGATAAGTGGTAATTCTGGAGGCTTATAACACTTATAATCATGCTTTGAAAACCATGGTGAGCACAGCTCAGATGACTCATTTTGTAGCTTTGTGCTTAACTATAAACCAAACAAAATTTAAAAAATGATCCAAATTGTCACTTGATTGCAAACATTTTTCTGGGAACCTTGCATCTGGAATACCCATCCCCAGATTCTGTCTGTGACACACTTATGATGAGCTTGATGCACTTACAGTACAATTGCTTCTGATATGTGAAATATAGATTGGTGATTTTGTTTGATTCTGTATTTTTTGAATGAGTGTCAACTTTATATTGTAATTATTTTTAAGGTAAGAAATTTTACTTTGGTTAAATAACACTTTTCTAAAGTGGTTAATTTTAGTTGTTAAGAGTTATACAACATTGATTCGCACTTAGAAACAAATTTCCTCATCCAATGTATAAATGGAAAGAAGCAGATGTAAAACTTCTTTCTTCTAACTTAGAAACTGTGTATACCTGCAGGTCTTTATCAACTCCATGGCTATTATTATGCAAGAAAAGGAGAACGGGAAATGATGCAAGATGCTCATGTAATCAATGATGCATTTCATAAGACTGTTGCAAATCTTCACCCTTCTATGTAAGTTTTATTTTCTATACAAATGCAATATATATATATATATATATGCACACACACACACCCTATTAATAATTAGATTGTTGAGTATTGGGTTTCTTTTCTGATCCTATATATATATATATATGATACATTACATGCATAGGACAAATGGCCAAGGAGTAACATACTTTGGTTAGGAAGAAGTTATGACTGGGGGAGTGTGCAGGGTTCTCCACTTCCAAACTTATAACAAGATTGATGCATTTCCAACTTTTGGCCTTTATACACATATATGTATACAGTATGTATGTATGTATATATATATATATATATATATATATATATATATATATACTATAATAATTAAATAATAATATACTAGTAAGTAGGTACTTATATTAATATATATATTGTAGTAGGTAAATTATTTACTTACTTACTTACTAAT